CCGGAGGGGGACATTTACAAGGGCCTGTAGCGACTGGACATGGGGTAATGGGTTTAAACTGCAAGAGGGTAAATTTAGACTATGCCTGAAAAAATTTTTTACCATGAGGGTGGTGAGGCACTGGCACAGGTTGCCCAGAGAAGCTGCGGATGCCCCATCCCTGGAAGTGTTTCAAGGCCAGGCTGGATGAGGCTTTGAGCAACCTGGTCTAGTGGAGGGTGCCCCTGCCCATAGCAGGGGGGTTGGAACTAGATGATCTTTAAGGTCCTTTCCAATCCAAACCATTCTATGATTCTGTGATTAATACTCAAATGCACAGAACTTAGGCAGTGGGTGGGATTTCATGCGAGTGTAAGTAAAGATAATTTGAAGTTTGTATCACATTTTTGTGAAACGTGTGCACAAATGTGTGAGTGGTTGCATATGTTAAAGTACTACATGCATTAGTCTAAGGACACAGCTAGTTACTTGTTCTGCAACATTGCGCAGGACATAATTTCACATGATACAGGAGTACAGGGTTTTAACCATTTCCTTTTTCCCTCAGTCGGAGACTCTTTCAACACTTCCAATGCAATACAAACCCTTAAGTAGCTTCCAGTCTTTTCTCCACAAATTTGATACAGTATTTGTAAAGGCTGCTTGCAGTGTTGCAAGGATCGGTTTGGAAAAAAAAAAAAAAGTCTAAGGTGTGAGCTAATCTTCAATTTACCTGGTTGGTACTATCAGGGCAACTGATATAAAACTACATTTTTATAGGCAATTAAATATAGTTCCCATTTAGCCTATTGCCTAACAAATATATAAGGACATTTCTATTTAATTTCCTTTTTTTGGCACTTTCAAACTTGCATTTTTTGCAATAAGTTGCTTCTTCCTAGAACTGAGATGCACTTGTATGTTTGTTTTAATCTGAGTTGGTTAGGTTCTTGACTGAGGCTGTATCCTACCTGCAACTGATGTAATGATGTCCAGCTGTCAATATAGCTGGTGTTCTTTTGGCTACTTGTTTTCTTTTGGCTCATTTACTCAGGCTAACCATTAAGTCAATAGTTTGTTCTAAAGAAACACCATTTTTTTGTCTTGAGGGAGAAAGAGGACACCCTTAAATAACTAACAATACTTCAGTAGAAAAAGAAAGCAGGAACCCAAGAAGGATTGAAGGGTAAATTCAAAGAAACAAACACAAAATTCAGACAAATAAACTTTAGAATATTGAAGGCTGCTCTGGAAATGGTGTGGAAGACTCGTAACATCTTCACTTAGGAAAAAATATAGGAGGAAAGAGCAACTTCTAATATTTATGCAGCCAATTTCAGACAAAGTCTGACTTGTTCCATACAAGTTGCACAGAGGCTTGTTAATTGGGAAAGTTTGAACTTCATTGTGGGTTTATAAATTTACCTTTTGGTGCATCAAGGCCCTGAGCATACTGGCTTTTGTGCAGAAAGAGTCTTCAGCTGTGCGCTTAGTTCAGTGCATTTAGGCGTGGTTGGCTTCTGGTTTCCCAGTGCCCAGGGTCAGGAAACCAAATTGCCTAAAGCTAAGCAAATTCTTAGGGGTTTTGCTGTGTCAGATTGGCTGGAATGTCAAGGGCTGAGTTGCTAGAGAGCATTTCTTGGCGAGAGCCTCAGAAAATAGGATGTCCACTCTGTTACTGCAGCCAGTGGAATAATTTTACTTTGCTTACATGGAGTTTTAAACAAGGATGAACCTTGAAATTAAAGAGAAGCCAACATTGTGAAATTCAATTAATAGATGTTTTGTGTGTGTGAACAGTCTGGAAAAAAGAAGACATTTGCATTTCAAAATGAATCACTGCATTTTTTTCTAGGTTTCATTGCAAGACACTTATGTAGGAAATGCTGCTTAAGGCTTCATGTAGTAAGTAGTTCAGGTGAAGATCTGAGGACTTATTAAGTACTGTTACCTGGGAGGGGATTGCTGTTTTCATATTCAAATACGCTTCCTGCAATGAAAAGAAACACGAGTTTTGCAGCAGCTTTTTCGAACTCTGATCCAGGAGACAGCAGGTGGCGTTTTTTGATCATACTTTACTACGGACGCGATTTCCAGGGACAGCTTTTACCTGCAGTGCCAGTTATGTAAAGGCAGGCCTGAATGAACAGTTTGCCCTGTGTTTAATGCATGCCATCTGCAAATGGAAAATCCAGGCATCAGTCAGCAGCCTCAAATGGTTGGTGACGGGCATAGACCACAAACCTACAGTTTGCAGAATTTAATTTGAAACTTACTGCATTTACTGAAACAACTTGTCATTGCCAATGATCACAATGCAGTTTTTACAATATTCTGTGGAAATACTAATCAGTGACCTAGGAGACAGGATGCTGATGCAACTTCTACTACACCAATGACAATTATAAAGGCATACTTTGCAGTACCTGTAAGAGAAAGTTGGGTGCTTTTTACAACTTGAATTGTAAAAACATTCATTTTTACTTTCACATGAGATCTGGACTGTGTGCAGTCTTCAAAGGACTGATATTCCTCTGCTAGAGACGCCTCTGCTTTTCTTCATGGGTTCATATACGTCTTTCATATTCTTTTCCACAAGCATCTTGATTCTCACTAGGGAAGGATCACTTCCTCTGTGCTCTTTCCTTGTTAATTTTCTGCTTCATAACACTAAGAATGAAGGTGAAAGGCTTAGTCATTGCAGGGGAGCTCAGCAACGCTTCCAGGCCTCAAGAAGAGTTCTCACATATTTAATGAACCTTCTGCACAAGTTTAAATAACTTTTGAAAGAAAGACTTGTTGGAACTTTGCAGCACTAGAACAAGTAGGAGACCTAGAGTGTGTAGGTCTAGAGCTATTCAGCTTTAGGTTTGCTTTTTTTTCCCCCTCAGGGTTGTTGCAGATTGCCCCCTTCTAAAAAAAAAAAGTTTTATTGCAAAATAATCAGATACTCATTTGTTTGTTTTAAAGCTACATCTGTTGTGGCTTTATGTGGCTTACATGCCCTTGTGCTGGCACATACTCCCTAGCAAGTTTATTGAAAGTAGATGTTGCTCACCCACCCCTTTCCTCCTCTCTTTCTTTTCTTCTGCTGCTTATGAACAGTGCTTTGAACTCAGCAAATGTATGGCTGTCTACTAACCTTCCAGGCTACTTTTTAAGTCACCTTAGTTTCATCTGATTAGTAAATTTAATCAGAGGGGGAGTAGGAAGGCTTAAAACTACTACTGGTACTGGCCCCATGTTTTGAAATGTGAAATGTAGTGCTATTTCCTTATCTATCTTTGCTTGTGCTATTGAAGATAGTTGGCTGAAGACCTTCAGGAGCTTTTGGGGTGTCTTTGCTCTGTGAGTTGTCTGGTCCTCCTAATAATTCCAGCGGCACGTGCAGTGAAAACTGAGATAGTCTGACTTCACGTCCCCAAGCATAGATGCTGTTTTTTGCAAGTCCTGATGCTCTAACTAATACAAACCCTTTCATACACTGTCAGGTAAGGTCTGTTCCCAAGTCCCTGTGCCTAGCAGCAACTCAAATTAATTGCAGGAGCACTGATAACAGAGGGATGTTGAGTTAGGGACCATCTGCACATATGAGATATACGGGCTCAGAGCCA